CGGTACTGGTTGAAGTTTCCTTCCGGTAGTCCTCTATTTTGCCGTTCATTGTATAACGCTAGCCCCATGGGAGGTCTAGAGACAAACGGATGGAGCAGTGTCCATTTCTGAGGCTACCATTCGACAGTGGTACTGATGCAACTTCAGTGATGGAGTTCAGCACAACGCGCAGAAGTATTCGCTCTCTGAAATGCTTCGAGTTGGGGTGACGCGTAGTACACACTACGTGTACAGGTTTCAGTACAGCACCGATTAGGTTACTAATAATGTCCTACTGGTTGAGGTCATCCAACTGCCTGCCTTTTATTGATGTGGACATTGATTCCGGAATAATAGAGCACAGTATGCTCAGTACAGGTAGTAGTTTCTTTACACCTTTCGACATGTCGCGGTTAGTGCTTGAAATACTCGGGGATGTACCGCAGGAACCGGTAGTGCTTGCACCAGAAATCTCCCCAACGCTGCTCAGTTTCCGATCCAGTTGGGAGTAACGTTAAATTTAAATGACGGCTCTTTTTGGAAGCAGCCGTAACCCAACTTTCTCTGGTAACTACTTGCACATTTTCTACGTGCTCTGTTGAGAGATTGGAATTTGCCTTACGTGTATTTACTCCGATCGAATTGGGTACCGCATTAGTCAAATAGGAGCCACCTATGGTATTGGAACAACAGTTGATTTTCTGGGCTCTTGGTGTACTGTTGCTTACGGTGTTACTAGCCGTTCTGCTCAGGATATAAGCAGCACTTACTGAGGAGGGTAGTGTTGTACACTCCACTATGCTTACTCTAACCGTGATGATTTTTATGGTCGCCATTTCGTCAAACTTGGCTGGTAGCTGATTGTACTTCTGAGGTAATAGGAGCACGCTTTTTATCAGTTGGACAGATGTCCATCCCACGCAGAACCGTAGAGAATCTGGTTTGTTTATTAACTTAGCTTGACTTGGTTTAAGTCGGAGGCATCTCGCATGGAAAAGCTTGCAAAAGTTACGGCAAGGAATGCCTCCCTTAACAAGTTTGGCACATGATCCACATAGACCTTTAGAGTGTGGCACAGTGAGAGTCGCGCTTGTTGAGCAAACCGTACGAACCATTTGAATAACCCACCCTCTATGGTAAAAAGTTGTTCTGTTACTGACGTTTACGCTAAGGTGACAGGGTTCTCCTTGCAGTTGTGCACTTACAGACTGTCCTCTTTTGCGTGCCAGTCGAAGGTGTCAGCAAGAACGTGGGGCAGGTTACATGAGTGTGTGATTGAGAATTTGTGTGCTTAAGACTATGGAGCGCGCCGGGTGAATTTGCCTTTAGACTTGTAGCTATTCCAAGCAATGTTGGATTTGAACGAGTGGGTTCGTTCGAAAGCCGTTGAAATGTTCTATCGAGTAAGATCAAACAATTACTCCGACGGTTGGAGCTAGGCAAATTTGGGCACTGGGATATCGGCGAAACACTGTCAGGAATTTAGAACTCAGGGTAAATGTAGAATGCACTAGAAGGTGCTCGAGAAAATGTTATCAAATGGTGAAGCTTATAAAAGTACGGCTAATAAATATAGATCCAAAGATGTGCGACAAAATGCCGCTGAGCGATAGTGAATATACCACGGGACACGATTTTTACCAACATCTCATTTGCCGTCATTATTTACGGATTTACAGTAGATATAACGTATACTTCAGTTAGTTCGATGGTGTAGACCTAATTTTGCCAACAATTGTTTTTATTGTGAAGTTTCACCATGACCATCCTACGGGATCTGTTAAGCATTCTCGTTTTTACCCGTATAAAACCATTATTCCATCTTAGTTCCTGCTTTGGAAACGAGCTAATATCCACTGAAAATGCCTGTCTTGGAACTTGACTTTTTATATCGCAGACAAAAGTAATGAAAAGAGGTAATTATGGAGTGATTAAACAGCAGATTAGTGAGATCTACGTTTTACTGCATCTCGATTGTTCTAACGTACGCGCCTGGATGGGGCAGCCACAGACAGTATTAAAGCAAACTGATCCTAATGCGTAAATGTGTTCGGGGTAAGTAACTAACTCTATGATGATTTCATTTTTAACATGGCATTCACACAAATAGCGAACCGCAGAACCGAAGAATACATTATCGTGGGGAACTAACGCGTTCACTATTAGAGGTGAGCAAATAAGTAATTTGTAGGTGGTGCTCAACATTTTAACAAGATTAATCACCAATCTCTGATAATGATTACATGGGTCTCTCTGTCCATCCTAATAGCCGTCTCCTTCACACTGCTATGTGTTTATGGCGGCATCTCAGAATTCCGACATCTCAAGTAGCTACCTATGGCCTGGAAATGATACAATAATGCCACTGGAAAATATAGTACAACCTGTGAGGGGACAGGAACAATTACCTAAGTTTCTGTAGATATATGGTTCTTCAGGAAATTCAAAAGATGAACTGCGGTAGTGCGGCAATAGACTTCTCACTAGTGATAGTCGACTTTACCGAAGTAAAACGGTAGAAAAACTAAGGGAATATTTTCTCGATTCGAACAGAGATAGCAAACCTACTGTTTTGTGTTCCCTTCAGTTTGGAGCAAATTTCATTTTTATAACAGATATAATCTCATGTATATTTTTAAAGTTAAATGTGGCGTTAATAGATTGTTTCATAATCCACACATCAGCTTGTGTGACAGCTGTGCACAAGTAAGAGTAAGGCTATGAACCATATTCCTTTTTACAGAGGACTTAAGCTTCCAGGAGGCCAAGTGGGTCTCAGAAGAAATGTTGAAGCTTGGGTAGATTGCATACTGTTTCTCGCGCAAGCTAGAACCCAGTTGCAGAATAACTTATAGCACACAACTTGCAAGACATTTCTGGCAATTTTCAACTTGCTACCACAGGACCACAAAGGCGCAAGCGGTGAGTTCTAAGCAGCGTACTCACGTACTCGACTCCGACGTTGCAGCATGACTGTTTACATTGTAAAGCATGGAAAGAAGACAAAGACTAGTAGATTCATGAATTTCGTATTTTCTACCCAGTACCATTAGCAGTAACCAATATGCATAGGCATAGCTAACAGTGGGTGGAACCAGATCAGCTTCGGGTGCAGAATGAATGAGGAATGTTCACACCTACGTCCAAGGCAGCTTTAGGCTGACAAATAATTGTTTCCTAACATACAAGACTGATTTCATCCGGCTTATAGCGAAGAATGAAACCTTCGTCTTCTTTCAGTGCTTTTCAAATTGTTGAAGGGAACTAGCTGCTTTAAATTTTTTAACATTGTGTCACTTCTGCCACGAGAGGCAAAAGTTCTTGTCTCACTGCGGGGAATTGACACGTGACTCGAAGTGGTTGTACAGTTATAAAGGACGGTTGCTGTACTCAGATTTGACCTTCGCGTTGAATAGGTATTCCAGGTAAAATGGGGTGTTATTATTATGCTCATTGGGTTCTCTTCGTCTATAGGATAAAACCGCTTCACCTACATTAAGTGGATGTTCTAACAGACCAAAAAGCAAAAGAGTACACGGATTATCTCTAGTAACGATTGTCTTTTTAATCTGGACCAAAGTCAGTTCACTTCATTTAGTTTGTTTATTTCTGTTAGTCTGCTATCTATTCGGTGTTAATTTTGCGTGTTTGCTTTCCATTAAATTCTATTAGTTGTTTGATAACCCGGTGTGTCTGCGCTTGATGTGAATGTTGACATGGTGCCTACCTGTCTAACACCCAGCACCTCGACTACTGGCTCCAGAAAACTGAATAGCTGTTGGGGGGACGAGGTGCACGGACTTCGTGGCCGTTCTAAGCCCTAAGAGTAATTTCATCCAGTGTGGAGCGGACTACGGTCATGCCACCGCCTTGTGTATGTCTGGTACGCGTGATTCCCCTCATAGATAGACAGGAATGCTGCTGCTAGGTACGTTGAAATAGTGTGGGCCGGCTCCGTTGATGACACGTGGCTCCCGTTCACATGCCGGTCGCATTATTTCGGGTGTTCACTGGATATGGCGTGTGTGTGTGTGTGTGTGTGTGTGTGTGTGTGTGTGTGTGTGTGTGTGTGTGGAACTTTGGGTGATGCAGCGCAAGCCCCCATGGTCCCTCTGTAGGCATAGGAGTCCTGTGGCTCTCCTGTGGAGGCCACAGTGACAGGTAAATCCGAAACCGGATGCTGCCAACCCTTAGGCCCCCATTAGACACCCATCCATTGGTAAACTTTTGTGTCCATACAGAAGGGAAAATACCGATATCGCTTACAATACCTGTGGAAAATTTCACCGCTGTTCCAGCAGTTTCCGTCTCTACACCGGATTTATTTTGGACTTTAGGTTGATTAGAGTAGTGTCCTGAGTTCACCGTAAATGTGTTACTAATGGAAGGCAAACTGAGTCATCGAACGCTTTAGTACTCCATTGGCGCGTCCGTCTTGTGCTATATATCGGACACAAGGCTAAACGGCCAACCGAAGGTAGGCGGGAGAACACAGAAAAATAAGCTCGGAAGAAGGTTTATTTAAAAGGCCGCAGCTAACTTAATGGTAAGACACCATGAGAGAAGCAGCTAACAAAGATGTGGACATGCGCTGAGTGTGAAAACGATAGATCGTCTCCGGGCGGGTATGGCGGATTGGTGTGTGTGTGGGTGTGTGTGTGGGTGACTCATGCAAACTCGAACAACATTTAAGCAAGCAAACCGCCGACTTCCCTAGTAAATAAGAAGACCATCTTTTATGCTAATTTAAAATATTTTATCCAATCAAACGGAGGAATTTCTAGATCACTACACCACAGGTTTGAATGCTAACTTGGGAAGGTAAAGGTAATAATCCTTACGGTTAATAAGTGCACGTATATTTTGGAAATCTTTCCCTCGTGAATTCTGCTGGATATGGTACAAAGAAAACTCATTTATGCTATGCCCTGAGGGTTTTCAGTGAGCTGCTAATATTATTCAACTGTTGTTAATCATAATTTGTTAATTCTAACCCTGTGGTATCTTTTAATCCCTTATAGATGAATGAAAACTACGGTAAAGCCTACTTCCCACATGGAGGCGAAGAAAAGGAAGAGAAACATCATTTTGAATTACTTATTTGGAAAAAGAGCTAAAACGAAAAACAATTAAGTCTGAGAAGGCAGTTTTAAATTTCCATCACCGTTTTATCTCTAGCCTCATGTCTCTAAATGAACTATAGAATAAAAAGTATAGTTGTCCAATGTCCTGAATTTGAACTACGTTTGACGAATGAGTGATATTTTGTTGACGTATCGACGGTAGTGATACCATAGTACGTGTGAGTCATAATGTGATAGAGTTCAATGCGAAGACACTGAGCAGCTGCAGCAGTTTTCACTCCCAATCTAAACGTGACTTTGCTTTAAAACGCGAATCAAACAAGAATTCCCAATGGTACCGGCAGGATGTACAAGGTGACCATACTGTTATTTAATGAATTATGTGAACTGGCCCTTTCCACTTAACTTCTGACCTAACTTACGTTGAGCACCTCGAGTGATTTCATACTGTAAACAGATTTGCAGATAAACAAAACACTAACTCTGCATATTTTCAAGCCAGAGGTGTACAAGTCAAGCCAACTCAATACAGTCCTTATGTACTCTAGTGGGTACATTTTCGGCCTTTTACGATATCCACTGCAGTTGCTTTAAAACAGTACCAATGCGAATGCAAAATTGCACAACTGTAAAAGATATCAGTAAGAAAACAAACGTCACTCGAAGAAGCGGTCCCGAATCCACATGCTGTTGACTGCACAGTGTTGAAACCCACTTTATCGATCCGGACGAAGATCCCTTACCTTACAAAACGCCTTTTGATGACTTGGCGAACTACGCGCAGTATAGTGTGCGTTCCAACAAGGATTCCGAGGACTTCCGTGCCCGGTGCGTAAGTCGGTCATAATAGGCCTGAGGAGTTGTAATGCAGAAGTAGTATCTCGTACACGCTTGGATGGAGTTAGTCACCGAGTAAGAGATCACAATGTTGTAATGTGTGCCTGGCTAACACCTCGGGTTGCTCTGGATGCCGTTGTCATAGCTGCGAAATGAATAGAGTCTGAGATGAGTGCATGGTAAAAACAAGCACGTATTGTGGATATCAGTAGAACGGGAAGGTACAAAGAGGAGGAAACAACAGTGACCCACTAATCGAAGCTTAAGGAACCCTTAAGTATGTATCACCATAAGGTCACACAAGGATTTGCAGCACGCAGTACCTCAAGATTTATTTCCAAAAATCGGCGAAGGACAGCCTTAGTGCCCTTGTAACAAGTCTAACTGAAGAAAATGTTAAAAACCCTTAGTGAAAACTGATAACTCAGCAACAAATAAAATAAGAGCGATGTTTCAATGAAAATGCGACGACCGATTTACAGCCCCAACTTGCTGGGCTGCGAACATCCGCACACAGAAGTTGTGTTCATTTTTATTGTGTTTTGCCTTGATCGCTTGCAATCCATCCATTACGTACAAGTGCTTTTGCAACTGTGTTTTTGGATTTCGCCTAGCCAGTCAGAAGCATTCGGTGGTAATTATACCGAAACAACAGCGTGATTTTGCGCTTCTGGCAGTTGGCTATGCTATATCATCCCCATGTATCTGGAGATTACTGTGAGCCAGACCTTTACAACACATTCGATATAATAAGAAGGGTTTTCAAACTTGTTTGGAATGCAGCCCGTTTTGAACTTGCACCTACTTGTCATGGTAGTTAGTCCCACAGGTTGGTGTATCCCACTAAGACGAAGGTAGGTCGAATTTTGTGACTGGCAGCTCATGAGGACTTAGTACCGTAAAATTTTGTATAACGAAAGTATCTCGTTGTTCAGTCTCTTGAGTTCCAGTGGGCGATGACAACGATGATCCTATTCGCTCGAATTTGGAGCGCGCCCCAAGACCGGCTTAGTAAATTTTCATAAGAGGTGTAACAACCGAACAACCTAAATCGAGTTAGGTCGCACGTATTTTATGTAAATATTGCTATCTCTAGCCATAAATCTAGACTACACCCTCGGTCTGGGCAGAAAACGGTCGAGACAGAAGAATTTCTATGATAATCCTTTAACTGTGGTTCTAAACGGTAGAATACTATACAAGATAGGACTCAAGACTAGGTTTGCAATGACAGCAGAAACAGCTAACGGCAACAGTGGTGTTAAAAGCATACTGGTGACCATGAGAGAAGTTCATACAATGGAAGTAAATGTAAAACGAACTTGTTTGAGCATGTACTGGTCTAAAGCACGAAAGGCTTGTTATTAGCTCGGGAGGTGGAAAGAAGTGAGAATAGGATCACTGAGTCATCACGAAGGAATAATCGGTCTGGTAAAGGAAATCGAAGTTCTTTTGAACTTTACACTCCCCCGGCTTTCATTCTCTCCTGTTGGAAGCCTCTTATCTCCAGCCGCCTTCCCGGTAGCGATTTTTAGAATACCGTTGTCTGATAGTTGCTGAATGTAGCTCACTGTTCTTACTGACGACTTTTTTTTATACCAAACCGGTCCTTGAGTTTCACATCCTTTCGAGCAATTTTTCATGCCAAACATTGTGAGGTGCGTAAATGTTAACAATCGCTACATTATATCCATCTAAGATAAATAAATCTACACGACCACTTATTTCTAGCCATGTCGCTAGTGTTGCAGCAATCTGAGTTGTTCATGTAAGCAGCCAATACAGTCCCGAATGGCTCTGAGGTAGAAAGCGTAATCAGGACGATGGCGTTTGATACACTGATGTCGTAGGTTTAGGGAAACAGGCATTCCAAAGTGCTATTCTTCATCTCGATGTACGTGTGCACCCCTGGCCCGCACTGTCGCTGCTTCAAGGAACTGCTTTCTTTACTAAAGTTGTCGACTGTTCGAAGTGACACGTCATCACCGACAGTTAAATTATTTGTTACGGCAGCAAACTGACGTAAAGTGCTTGAAGAATTGTTGTGGTTGGCTATCTTATGTGCGGCTGTCACCTGCAATTGCGCAGTCTTACGTGGCATACCAATCTCCGTAACAGGCAGACCAATAACGCTAAAATCCATGACAGGAGTCGACAGAAAAGTTGTACAGTAATATCGAGGCTCCAGACATCAGTAGGAGAACTCTGGGTTTCCTGTGGCACTGTATGCTTGGGATTCGCAGCGATCATAACTTCGACTTGGTCAATGACTAGGAGACAATTGTCCGTGTACTTCTGTGTCTCGTAACTGAGGCCCATCGAATGACAAATTTTGACGTTTGGAAAGAGTACAGAATTGGTCTTCTCGGGGCACTCCCACAGAACTGATTTAAGATGACCTTCGGCTGATGCTGGTAATTTGCTTGGACCCAACACAACCAACCGAGTGGGGTTCTGATGGTGTACAGATCACCAGGACCACCGCACTTCTGTTCCAAAACCCAAGGAAGATAGGAGTTATCGGTTCCAAATCAAAGTCGCACGTTTCTCTCTAGCTCCGGTAGCTTCAAGTTAGATAGGTGATCCCATTTCCATAAGTCTTTCTTTTCGGTGTCCACGGTAATTGCTTGAAGAAGACCACTGACTGATCTGAAAGGTTTCAGTCTAACGGTCTCGTCTCTATCCATCGAGTACAATGGAACAATGGAACAATGGTATATGACGGGTAAAAAAGCATACACTTAACGAGTCCCGCAGGTTGGCAATAGAAATACTAACAAATTGGCAAATCCCATAAATGGTTGAAGTAAGGAGTGTCAGTGAGATAAAAGGTAGAAGTATAACAGTTTTAGGGGGACAAAGTGGTACGACGCAAAACTGGCTAAGAAATTGTTATCGTTGGTGATGGTAGCAAATAAAAATGGAGTACTCACCGGTTCGCACAGATTTACGACCGTGAATTTGGGGTATAAATCCAAAGAGGCTGGTCAGCCTAAATATATACAAGCGTTTTCGTTCATAAAACAAAGCGCAGGGCGCTCAGTGCGACGTCCAATCGTTTTTTAAACGTATCTAATGTGGGGGCACAAACTACTGAGTTTGGAAGGGCGTTCCAGGGCCCGCAGACCCGGAGGGAGAAATAGGTTCTCCGACAGTCTAGACGACTGTACTGTTGGCTCAGCTTTAAACTGTTACCGCGAAGGTTAGTAGACCTTTAAGTTCGCCAGTTGCGACTCTATCTCATATTCAGCGGCAATCACACGAATGTATAACGTCTTCACAGTCCTTCGTATCTTGAGTTCGTGCAGTAAAGTTGAATCCATTAATGAACTGTCTGATCCACTATCTATCATTGCTAAAATCTGGACTGTGCTAGTAGGACCAGAAACTAATACTGGTAGTACGCCTAAGGACACATTTGAAATCTCTATGTGGTTGAATGCAAAACTGTAACTATGAGCGTCAGCTTTTGTGACGTCCTTGTCACTTTGATCGGCGTGGAGCAGCGGATGATGTGGATCTTTACAGAAATTTAACCCACAGTTCCTGCGCGGAACGGCAGCTGTGATGGTCGTGGTTTGCTTCAGGCAGAACTGACATATTTATTTGGTACGACAAAATTTCAAGCGCTCTTGGTGGCTAAGCTTGTGGAAGTCGTCACACTGATCCAAGTAGTGGTGTCTTTTGCAAGAAATGCACTTAGGGCGAAACGTTTCCATTGAAGTAACGGGGTTGGGACGGGCTGCATTACCGAGAAGCTTCACAGCGCTACTTTTCTCAGCGTCGAATGATATTCCATGCGACCGTGAGATAAAGGACAGGTAAGTGTCAACGATGTCAGCATCTTTATCCACAAACTAGGTCAGATCGATGAAGTTTGCTCCGCTCTATGTCCGGATAATCCTGGCAGCGTATTCGGTCCACTTGAACTGAAGGTGGCTAGGAAGCCTTCTGGCAATAGAACCAATTGTTCTAGATGCATTTAGATCGGCCTCATATTTTAACTGTTTCAGTGTTATGTATCAGGAATGGACTTGCCCAACTAAACGGGAAAAGCAGTAAAATCATTTGACGATGTTCCGGCCATCAGTTAAGGAATTAATATTCGTTTTGGCTATCACATGAGGCCTTCCAAAGCGATTCCGTAAGATGCTCATTGCTACGTGGAAGCCGACTGCAATATCGAGGACTTAATCGCCTGTTTGGCTTCACCGGGGCAGAATTGCGTGAGATACGAAAGTCTGATTTTCGGATCCGAAGCCATTTTTTCATGTTTGCTTCGAAGCAGCGTATAAAGATCCAGTACAGTTGGATTGCCATCAAACGTGATCAGCTCGTGTTTAGGAAGGCAAGGAGAGGGTTCGAAGACATGGTTGCGCAAACCAGACTCACAGACACAAGGTTGCGCCACTA